CCTCATTTTTTTTGAGGACTGTCCTAGAGCTCACCAAATAGGTTAGGCTATCTGACCATCAAGGCTCAAGGATTGCCTGTCCCTACTTCCTCAGCACTGTGATTAGAGGTGCAGTCTGCCATCTTGACATGTTTACACAGAAGCTGGGGGTTGAACTCAGATCCTATGCTTTCAAAGCAAGCACTTTACAAGTAGAGCAGTAGAGTTGGTATCCCAGTCCCAAGAATCCTCATTAAAAAAAACCTTCCATGTGGTGATGCTATTTCTTTTACCTTTGCTTGAGAACCATAGTCTCAGAAGTTGGAGACTCACCTAAGGTGGGCTTCTTGGGTCAGGGAAGGTCAGGGAGTGAGATCAATGCCTTTGATAGCATGTGGAAGCAACTGGTAGGCACTAATGGATAAATAAAAAAAAAACTTCCATATGGTGATGCTATTTCTTTTACCCTTGCTTGAGAACTATTGTCTCAGAAGTTGGAGACTCACCTAAGGTGGTCTTCTTGGGTCAGGGAAGGTCAGGGAGTGAGATCAATGCCTTTGATAGCATGTGGAAGCAACTGGCAGGCACTAATGGATACATTGGAAAAGTGCTAGAATCTTTTATGGGGTTTATTTGTCTCTCTCTGGCTCTTCATTCAACTAACCATATGCTTACTTTCCATTGGCAATTGCGATTTAAATGTCAGTTGATAGCAGATGTTCCTTCGCCTACTACAAGCAAGTTAATTTATAGTCCACAAAGCCTGGTGGAGTGTTCTTTAACCATGCTGGATTCCCATTGCTTCACTCACCCCTTTTTGCAGCCCCACGGAGCCTTGCCAGACTCAGAAGAAAAGCTACCATTTCATCCCCCAGTTCTGAGCAATGCTGAGTCTTGGCTGGCCTAGGTTACTCTCCTCCAGGCTAACTCTTACTCCCGTGTGTGTGTGTGTGTATGTGTGTGTGTGTGTGTGTGTGTGTGTGTGTGTGTGTGTGTGTGTGTGTGTAGGTCAATGTTGGTGTCTTCCTCTCCTGCTATTTTGGTCTCTCACTGAACCTGGAGCTCACTTAAGCTAGGCTGACGGGCCAGTGAGCCACTGTCTCCTTCCAACCCTTCTACCCCATTCCTATGCTGTGTGCCAACACATCCGACTTTTTATGATGGTGCTGGTGATCTAATTCAGCTCCTCACGTTTGCACAGTAAACCTTCTCTGATTGAGCTGTCTCCCTGGCCCTTCTGTTCTAGTTTCTTTTCTGTTGCTGTGAAAAAAAAAACCATTTTGACCAAAAGCAACTTTGAGGAAGAGAAGGTTTATTTGGCTTATAATTCTAGTTCACAGCACTTCACTGAGTGAAGTCAGGACCTGAACTCAAGAAAGAACTTACAGCAGAAACTATGAAGAATTTTTGTTGGCTTATGCTTAGCTAGATTTTGATATACCTCAGGACCACCTAAAGAGGGAAGAGCACCTCCCGAAGTAGACTGGGTACTCCTTTACCAATTAATAATCAAAAGAGTCCCCCAAAGGCCAATTTCATAGATAATGCCCCAGTTGAGACTTCCTTCTCAGGTGACTATAGGCTCTGTTAAGTTGAAATTTCTGTCCTTTCAAAAAAATCTGGTGTTTCTGTTTGTTAGCATCAGGCTTTTGCTGCCTTAACATTCTGCTTTGACCTTTCTCATGGTTCTGAGCAAACTAGGTTGAGGTCACCTTGTTCTTCTCAGCATCAAATGTCCATGATAGAGCACTGTCAGTACACTGTTGTATGAATAAGGATACTCCAGGGGAAATAAATTGGGAAACAAACAAACAAACCAGAAATAATGAAATCTTTAGCCCTTGTACGCTATAATCAGAGTTAGAATTAAACAGTAGAAGTAGGTAGGAAAGGGACAAACGACCACAATAATTACAAAAATCTCACCATCCTCAGCCTGTCCACTACACCCACGAAGTTCCCGTAGCTCAGCAAAGTGAAACCCTGACACAGGTAGGAAAGTAACTCTTTGGGATTTGTTGAAATGACACAAACCACCTTTCTTGGGATAGATATAAGTTTCCAGATCGTTTCTACTCAGTCAATAATAGTAAATAACAATTTTCTATGTATTCATGCATGTTTGTCTGAATGCAAATTCATGTGTACATTCATGTGGAGACCAGAAGACAGCCTTAAGTATTATTCCTCAGGCACCAAACTTTTGGTTTAAACTAAGGTTTCTAATTGGCCCAAATAGGCTAGGCTGCATGGCCAACAGACTCCAGGGATCCACTTATCTCCACTTCCTTAGTGCTGGTATTAATAAATGATGCCGCCAAACCTGGATGAATAACAATTTTTCTGTAAGTACTAATGCAAGATAGATGGACAGATAAGTAGGTAGACAAGTGAGAAATCAATAATAGCTAGGTAGTCTGCTAGATGACAGATAATAGATGAATGGAAGATTGGGTGGACAGATGAAAAGATAGGTGATATATGATGGATGGGTGACTGGAAAGACATATGAATGATAAATGAGAGATAGATAATAGATGAATAGATGCTTGATAGATAGGTAGATAGATAAACAATAGATAGGCCAAAGTTAGAACAATGGGTGGTCAGAAGGACAAATTGATAGATGATAGCTGGCTGGCTGGAATATAGATACATGATGATAGGTAATAGATGATAAATATATAGATGATAGATGCATCTGTACATAGATAAATGACAGATGATAGACAGGCTGATAATAGATGGATGGATAAGTGAATGGACAGATGAATAGGTAGGTAGTAGATAATGGTACATGGGCAGATGGATAGAGTCCTTTTGGGCCAGGTTCACCACATGCTCCAAAGTCATATTGTATCCTGAACATTCTTGACTAACCCAGGCTGGAGTGGGAATTACACACCTAAGAATTTCAATGAGTGCTTCTTTGAGGCGGGGGTGGGGAGGGGTGGGGGGACTGGGGGGTGGGGGGGTGGGGAGGTGGCTGAGTTTTAACATGGACTGTGATCAGTTGTGTAGATATCTCTTTCACCTCACCCATGCTGACAAGTCAACACTTGAGCCTAAACTACAATAGCACAAAAGTTTCCATTGGCAGTCAAAGTTAGGGTGCTTAAGAGCATGGGACTCGGAGACCTTGAGCAAACCACTTAGGCTTAGTGTCCTCATTTGTGACCAGAGATGTTCTTTTCTGAGACTCTGAGATGATCACAGGGCTATACTTGGTAATGACTTTCACCTTAAAGGTCAAAGGGGAGAAAGGAGAGCACAGTCCTGAATAAGTCAATACCACCACCTCTAAGGCTGCAGAACCAAACAATCCTATGAGAATTATAGCAAGCCGTCTGCCCCAATGCTGTGGAAATGCCACCATCTCTTCAATGCTGGGATTACAAATGCCTGCCACCATAACCAGGGTATGGAGTTAGACATCTGTGTTGCTTCTGTTTTTAGGCAGAGAGGTTTTTTTTTAAAATCTTTGTGTGCATATGAGTCATAGAGTCAGCTGTCAATTTAATGCAGACTTAGAGGAACCTCCAGTGAATAATTGCCTCCACCAAATTGGCCTGTTGGCATGTCTGTGGGACATTTTACTGACTGGTAGCTGATGAGGGAGGGGCCAGCCCACTGTGGGTGGTACCATCCTGAGGCAGATGGGCTAATAAACCAGCCTGCCTCCATTTCAGGCTTGAAAGTCATCATATAGTAAAGACAAACTAGGTTCATTAGTGTGTGTGATTAAATCTGTTTCTCTAGGGTTGGGCTATGCCCCACCTGCAACCTTAGCTACAAATGATTCTGAATCGCCTATCACAGGAAATGGCAACCATGTCTTTGTTTAGCTGTCTTGAAACCCTACCTTTGTTTCCCAGGTTGTTATGGCTACCATGTCTTTGTCTTTCATGAGGTCATTATGACTGACTTGTTATACTTACATTCCACTCCTGTAATTCTGTCTTTTTGCCTGCCAAATGCTCCACTTGAAACCCCTTATCTCTGAGCTATAGAAACCCTGTCTTCCTCGCTTTCCACGCTGATCTCTAAACCCTGCCTTAGGGGAAGAAGGCCTATGCACACGAATAAGAAAGCTTCCTTTAATTAATTTCTTGTTTACATTTTACCATGATGATTTGAGTCAGTGGTCTTTCTCCTCCTATCTTTGGGGTTAACGTGAGCCTGAGTTATTTAAGAATGATAGCCGAACATCCACCTGGGAACAAATCCATAAATAGCATTCCTCTGTGGTTTTGCTTTACATTCCTGCCATGGCTTCCTTTGATGATGGACTCTGACCTTTAAGATGATACAGCCTGTTTCCTCCCCAAGTTGCTTTTGATCATGTTTATCACAGAAACACAGAAACCAAACTAGGCAGTGTTCATGTATGCCAGTGTGGTTGTGCAAGTGCCAGGAAACACACTGCATGTGGAGGTTGGGGACAGCCTTGGATGCCTTGGTTCTTGCCCTCCACCAGGCTAGCTGGCCTGGGTTGGGTCCAGGGATTCTATCTCCACCACCTGTCTTGTAGAAGGAGTGCCGGCATTACAGGCACACTTGATGGCATCCAGCTTTATGTGGTCTCCGGAGAAGAACTCAAGTCCCCACTCTTGTGTAGCAAGCCCCTTACCCACTGAGCCATTTCTCCAGCCCTGCATCTGTTTTGTAAACATTATTCTGCCAAGGATGTGTGTGAGCCATTGTCTAATGGCTCTTGTCACTTCATAGTGGTGATGGAGGAGAAAAACTAGACGTGCTTTATGTGGAGAAACAGATAAGATATGAAGGTATTTCAAAATCCAAAGTGCAATGTTGTCTGGGGTATATTACCGACCCTATCAATAATCCAGTTAGGACAGTTTACCTGCTCTACGTGAGAGGGTTCAGTTCGCCAATCTTCATTCAAGTTCATACTCACGCTGTTTAAATGTGGGCTCCATGCGGCACCACACAGACCAAAGCATTATAGATTTCTTTCCCCCAAATGCAATACACGCGTCTAAATTGATTGCAGCCAAACATAAATTTAGTCAAATCTTTAATGCACTCCATTAAACCATGAATAAGACTTTAAAGCATTGTGTTAGCTATAGAGTAGCTGGAACTGGAGTTGAACCAAAATTTAAAACAGCCAAAAGAGAAAGTGTCCTCTGGACATGGTAGGTTTGGTATTTATTCTCAATGGTGTATTGTGGAAAAGCATGATTTTTTTTTCACATGTAACAATGAACAATTACCTGGCATTGTGAAATGATTAATTTTGCACACAGGGACTGGGTGGCTTCCTGTTCTAGAAAAGCTAGCTCAACTCTCACACTGCCTGAGGGCACATGCCTCAGACTGCCATTGGTGACACCTTATGGACCCAGCACTCCATTTTCCTAGAACAAAATTATCTTTTTAGACACAGAGCGGCAGCCATTTCTCTTACCTCCAGTTGAGGCTGGGGGAAGGATATGCCAACAGCTCCACCAGGCAGTGGGCATGATTTGTGTGTTCCCAAGAGTCAGAGTTTGGGATGAGACATGCAGGAGACATTTTTGTACTTTCAGAACAATGCAGATTTTTGAATAATTTGATCATCACTTTTACGGAATGGTTTCTAGTGAGAGGCTGGCAAAGCAGTCAGGATACACATTCAGAAATCCAATTTGGATTCAGCAATGCTTGGTAGTGCTGCAAATGCAGGCTGCTTAAGGGGTTCCTGGGTGCTGACTGTGTAGGTGTCTGGGAAAAGGGCAGTTGGAGAGTTAGTATACAGCAGAAGCGAGTGAAGAATTAAAAAATATCTCACCAATAATCTTCATAATGATTCCATATTTCACTTGCATAAGAAGTCCAGCTATATGTGTGTGGAGCTAGGTAGCATTATAAAAATTGTTGTTGAAAATTTTTAAATTAAATGTATGGCTTCTGTTATTTCAGTGGGTGTAATGACATCATATATGGGTCACAGTTAATGACTACTTTCTTACCTGTTTTTTTCTTCCATTTTCATGCCTGTCGCTTTGTGTGTGGCATGTGCAAGTACGTGCATGCATGTCTGCATATGCATGTTGGCATCTGTGTGGGGGGATATGTGTGCACATGTGGAGGCCTACACTTGATGTCAAGTTGTTTATCCTTGTTAATTAACTCTTGCACTTTATTTGCCTAGGCAAGGCCTCTCATTCAAACCCAGAGGTCACCTATCTGGCTAGTCTTACTAGCCATGTTGCTCTGGGAATCCCTAGACTCCATATTCCAAGGCTGGCATTACAGGTGAACTTATCATGTCCATCTAGCATTCACATGGGTACCAGAGACATGAACTCTTGGGAGGCAAGCGCTTTAAAAGCTAAGCCATCTCTGTAGCCACCTTGCCTGTGCTTTTTATCCAACTGAAAATAGGAGAAATTGATAGTATTGCATCTTGGGAGGAAAGGGGATCCTGCATCCCAGGTCTTGGAGATGAGCAGGTTTCTCATTCTTTTAAATGAAGATCCTAATTGCTTTGCCCTCTGTGGGTTGTCAGAAGAGAAATCCATGTGGGGAGTAAGTGCCCAATGTAGAAACTGGAGTGGAGGAAGCTAGTTTGCAGCTCCTGGTTCTGTGTCTAGACCTGCTAGAACCCACCCATTTCTATTCATACTCCATGTCTTTCTTCTTCCAAGCCTGAGCTTACTGTCCTACCAACCTACTTCTACAGCCAGAGGGCCTAGCTTCCTCATCAGCTCCCCTCATCCTTGAGGAGTTCTGATCTTTTCTCCCATTTGCTGCTTCTCACTCAAATGGACCCACCTGCCATTTGCTATCTCATTTCAATTTCAGAGCCAGGATATCATCCTGGCTGAAACTACAAAGCAAGCTCTGGATCACAGTCCGGCCCATCCCTTTTCTCCTACCTAGACACCGGGTTTCTTCCCTCTCCTCTTGCTCTTCCTCTTTCTTCTCTTCTTTTTCTCTTTTGTTTTTAAACTAAACTCTCTTTTGATGGGATGATCAATGCAGGATGACTGGGGTCAAGCAAACACATGCAGGAAGCTAATGGAAGGGTGTGCATGCAGGTGATGAAGACAGCAGAAGGTAATGCGATGTTCTCGGGGTGCTTCTCCTCCTCCTCCCCAACATCTCTCCCTCTCCACCCTGCCCTGCCTTCTCTTTCCTGGTTGGCTCCCAAAGCTATGCCACATTCAGCCTGTGGGAGGTACAAGGAGCATCTAGTCAGCTTTCTACTTCCTCAGAGAGCACCCTCCCACAGTGTCACACAGCTTGCACAGAAAGCTGCGCACTGGATTTTCATGTTCTAACAAACACATCCTCAGACGATAGCTGGACTTGTTCTGCAAAATTCAGTTGGGGGCCGGGGAAGATGTGAAGCGTTGCGAAAACATGTCCCTTCCTCATGTATTCAGGCGTCTGTTCTCCTTCATAATCAATACTGAACTAGCCACTCAGAACTATGAAACTTCAGAAAAAATCCAACACGCGGCTGGGAGCCCCTCAAAATCCCGGTTTCCTGTGCAGGCATTGTTTCCATAGATCAGAAAGTTTCTATTTTTGTCTCTATCCAGCAAAGGTAACAAGGTGGTTTTGAATCTGCTCTTGACTCAAGATAGCATTTATTTATTTATTTACTTACTTATTTATTTATTTTGCCTTTTCATCAGATCAATATGCTACGCTGCCTATTTTATTCTTAGATTTACTGACTATTCTCGGGAAAGCAAATTCAAAAGGAAGAAACAAGCAGATTGGTTTTTATCTCAAAGCCCTGGCTGAGGTTTGGCAGAAGGAATCCTTAGAAATTCACAAAGGACCAGATTTTCCCAGGCCCTCCCTGCTGAGAGATGCCTTTGTTTGGAGGGTCTGTCTTTGGGAGCAGCTGAGTTATATACTGTCAATCAAGGGCTCCTCCTCCACCAGTCAAAGGATACTCAGGGTAACCCTGGCCTCATGAACATGTCTGCTTGCCTTGGACCACTAACTAATGAAGTATTTACCATCTATTCTAGGAAAGGAACAGTGACTACCAATAGTCACTTGTCTGTAGTTTATGACGGAGGGTTCAGAATGGGAAGAAGTACTTGTAAAATGCAAAAATTTTAAAAATATATTTGTGTTTAATTTTGTGAGGAGAGTTGTGCACAGGGCTGTAGGTGCTGAGGTGGCCGGATGGTGTAAGCTTCCCCCAGCAGCTGGAGTGGCAGGCCATTGCCATCTGCCTGATGTGGGCACTGGGAACAGAACTTAGGTCTTAACAGCTGAACCATCTTTCCAGTCCCATCAAATTCTTGCTTTAAGATATCAGCCCCTCTCACAGGAACCTTTGTTCTGTGTGCTCAGTTTCTTGAGATAAGAGAAAGTCCTAAAGACAGGTTTACTTTTCTTGTTTAGTCCATGAAGTCTCACCATCTTATGATTCCAGGTGTTTGTCAGAGTATAGGAGGGGCTGTGATCAGGTAAGCTGGAGTGAAAGCATGCAGCATCCATGGTGTCTGGAAGCTGGCGGGCTGGATGGAAGCTCCCTTTTCTATAGGACCTGATCATTCCTGGCCACACTGCAGCTCAGTGCTACAAAGGCGGAGAGTGTGCTCTTGTCTGTACACAAAATGAGCTTCAGAGATTGGGGTGTTAGGTGATAACTTGTTTTCCCATGTGAAGGTGGACAGGGCATTGCTTCTGAAAATGTTTTAAAAGCAGCAGAGATCCTGAACTAGATAGAAGCATCATTGTTAGAGATGTGCATGCCTTTTGGGTCACACACACACATATACTTGTGTATGTATGTGTATGTAGATGAACATGTGTGTGTATATATATATAAACATATATATATATATACATATGTATGTATGTATTTGTCAGAACTGTAGAAGTGGTTGTGATCATGTAAGCCAGAATGCAAGTGTGGGGCATCCAAGTGAGTGTCCAGATAGTCAATGCCTCATGCGTAAGGAGGGGGCTGAGTGGTACTTCTTTATAATAATTTGTCCCTGATTTTGCTTCTCCCGAAACTGGATGCAAAATCATTGTCATAAAATATATTTGTTTAACCAAAGAGAAACAACTTCCATTTGACTTAAAAATATCACTGGGTCTTCTTAGTTCAGTCATTGTTTACAAAACAAATCCCATTTCATCTAATATGGCTATGGGCCCATCTAGAAACAAAAAGACAAAATCATATTTATGGCCAACATGAGATATTTTCTGGATATACACACAACAGTGAAAACATTTGAAAACTGACAGGCATCCACAGGTATAAATACACTGTCGAAAGCATTTAACGCTCTTTAACATAGCCAAGTCCCCTGAGCTTGAAGCAGCATTCAATTCTCCTTTGCCAATGGCAAAAAGAAGCCGTCAAGCACAGCATTGAGAAATTGGTACTGTTTCCTGGCCAGTAAGCAACAGAACCAAGGGCTGAATATTTTATGGGTTTTTATTTATTTATTTTTCTTCTCATGCTGTTTTTCTCTCACGTCTCGTTTTCTCTCCTGTTCTTGCCTGCCCAGGACTGATTGTGGTGACGCTGGCCGTGTGTTGGATGCCAAATCAGGTTCGGCGGATCATGGCTGCGGCAACACCCAAGCATGACTGGACCAAGTCGTACTTCAGGGCATATATGATCCTTCTCCCCTTCTCTGACACCTTCTTCTACCTCAGCTCTGTGGTCAACCCTCTCCTCTACAACGTGTCCTCTCAGCAGTTCCGGAAGGTGTTCTGGCAGGTCCTCTGCTGCCGCCTGACTCTGCAGCACGCCAACCACGAGAAACGCCTGCGTGCCCAGTTCAGCTCCACCAAGGACAGCACCCGCTCCATCCGCAGCCCCCTCATCTTCCTAGCCTCCAGGCAGAACTCTTCCTCCAGGAGATCTAACAAGGTTTTCCTAAGCACTTTTCAGGCTGAGGCCAGGCCCGGAGACGCTAAGCCCCAGTCCTTGAGTCCTGAGTCACCACAGATCGACTCAGAGACCAAACCAGCTGATTCTGCCACAGAAAATGGTTTACAGGAGCAGGAAGTGTGAATACCAAGTTCAGAAGCCTTGAGCAGAAACTGGCTCCTCCCTCCCGCAAAAGCCAAGTTACCTTCACGCAGCGTCCTGCATTAGACTGTGACTCCATCAGGGGCAGAATGGAAGCTGGAGGCTTTGGGAGGGGCAGATGCATATCGCAATGACTTCTAAGGGCTGATTCTTCCAGGCTGGCCTTGGTGGTGGCTCCGTGGACTGGGATGGGAAGACCTGGGCTTTCTGCTCCAAGCTTTTGCTTCAACTACACACAGAAATTCGGACTGAACTGTTTCAGAACTTACAAAGTATTTGTGCATGGCAATCTTGCATTACTTGAAAGGGAACAAACAGGCCCCTTTGTCTACCCAGAATTAAAGGACACCCAGAAGAGGCTCAAGGAAGTGAGAGAGGGAGGGCCAGACAGATGACGCAGCAGGGGTTGGCATCTCCTTTAGCTTCAGCAGTGTGCCAAGCAGAGGGCTAAGTTGAAGAGCAGGGCAGTGGTGAGAAGCCCTGGCCTGACGGCCGAGGCAGAGCTGCCTCTTTTCTTGGGCCTCGGCCCGTTGCAAAGAGGAGTGTTGCAGCAGCTGATACACACGGAGTTCAGTTTCCCAGGGGAACAGAAGGACTGGTACCCGGCCGAGGCAATCAGACAGGCTGCTGACGATGCACACGACTTCCGGTACATGATCCCTGCAACACAGGACCACAGAAGTGGGGTTAGCATGTGTAGTCTGCAGTCCAAAATCACTTCGAGCCCAGATCTGAACGCATAGCTTTTCCTAACTCCTCACAGGGAAAGGGTTCTTGTCCCCCGAGCTTGTTGCAGCCTGGGAGTTCTTTGGGGTTATTGCATGGAGGTCACACAGAACCTATAGTGAATACGACAGTCACTGTTTCACTTTTGACAAACTTGTTCTGACAGCTATTTTAGCTGCTATATCCATGAATAAAGAGTCATTAACACCAAAGTCTCCCCACCCCGTCTGTCTGCAGCCCCCTGAAATGTATGTGTGCATACAGTATCCTCAGACTCCAGAAAAGGGAATTGGAGTCATAGGTGGTTGGGAGCTGCCTTATAGAGATACTAGGAGCTAAATTCAAGACTTCTGCAAGAGCAGTGCAGACTCTTAACCTTCTCTTTCATCCCTATACGCAGCTTTTCTTATGTGGGTTTTGGAGATCAAACTCAGGTCCTTATGTTTGCATGGCAAGTGCTTTACTGACCGAGCCTTCTTCCCAATGATAAGGTTTATTTTTAAATCAGCTCCTACTTTATAGTAGACAACAATGCTTTTCTTTCTGTTGTTATTGTTCAAACTGTCTTATGCTAGAATCACATACCATATACCCAGATAATATCTTAATAAGTGGCCTTAGAGAGATGACTCCCAATCAAGAGTTTATTACATTCCAGAATTCTCTGAATAGGTGCAAATTCCAAAGGGAGTAATCCCGTCTACCTGATGATTATGTCTCCCCTCCACAGCCCCCCTGCTGCTAAGGATTCACTATAGTTAAGCAATTGTAATAATAATAGGGATGTATCACTGTTGACAGAAGTCCAAGCAGGCATGGAGCCCTGGGTTCCACCCCTGAACTGCATACATTGGTTGTAGTGGTGCACACTTGTAACCCCAGCACTTGGGAGGTAGATGTATAGGGATCAGGAGTTCAAGTTATCCTCAGCTACACTGTGAGTTTGATACCACCAGGGGCTACATAAGACCTTGTTTTCAAGCAGTAACAATATTAACAACTAAGTATGTATGGGCCTTCCTGGATGCAAGACACTGTATAGATGGTTACCACGTGCCAGCTCATTTAGTTCTGTCCCTAAAGTTTGGATATAGTGAGCCCTGGAAAGACTTTTGTAGAAAAATCCTGGTCTTCAGGATGGTGCTGCTGGGAGGTGGGGTCCAGCAAGGGTTGCAGCATGCATGGTGGCACTCTAGTTTCTCTCTCTGTCTCTCTCTCTCTCTCTCTCTCTCTCTCTCTCTCTCTCTCTCTCTCTCTCTCTCTCTCTCTCTCTCTCTCTCTCTCTCTCTCTCCCTCCCTCCCTCCTGGCTATGGGCTGAGGGGCACTACTTCTTTACATGCATCTACCATAATATGCTGCATCACCACAGGTCTCTGACCATGGATTGAGCTTCCAGCCTCCATACCCACACCCCTGTCTCGTGTGTGCATGCGTGCGTGCGTGCGTGCGTGCGTGTGTGTGTGTGTGTGTGTGTGTGTGTGTGTGTGTGTGTGCGTGCGTGTAACCTCAGATGTTGTTTCTCAGGAATCACCCATCTTGCTTTTTGGAGACAAGGTCTCTAACTGGTTTGGAGCTCTACAATTAGGCTGGAGTGTCTGGCCAATGAGCCCAAAGGATTAAAAGCATGAACCATCACGTATGGATTTGTTTAAAGTGTGTGTCCTGGGGTTCAAATTCAGGCACTGGTGCTTGCATAATGCGCACTTTGCTGACTGTGAGATGTCTGTATCCCCCTCAAAAACCAAACCAATATGAACCTTTCTTCTTCCTACATTGATTATTTCAAGCATTGTCCTACAGTGATGAAAAGCTGGCTCGCATGGCTGAAAGTACTAGAAGGGCCCTGTGGCTTTTCCTACTGCACAGATCCAGAGCCTGCAGACTGCTTAGTGAGACTTAGTAACTTGTCCAGGTCCCATCATCAGACTCTCTCCTGTCAGCTGCAATAGAACATATTATGGTGGCAAAGTGTAGTTTGAATGAGAAATGCCCTCCATAGGCCCATGTGTTTGAACACCTAGTCTCTGGATAGCAGTCCCGTTTGGAAAGGTTATAGAGCCTTCCGAAGGTGGAGGTTGAGGGAAGTGGATCATTGGGGATCAGCCTTGAGGTTTGATAATCTGGTTCCACTTCTCTGCACGCTGCTTCCTGACTGCAGCTGCATTACGCTCCTGTTATCCCCATGCCTTCTCCCCCATGATAGACTTGAGCCGTAACAAGCCCAGTGTCCTAGCACAGCTGTGAATGTGGCCCAACACAATGTCATGGACACTCCTGCATGTGAGCCAAAATAAACCCTTCCTTCGGCTGCCTTTTGTCAGGGTGTCTGCCACAGCAATGAGCATAACTAATTCAATAGTCACCCAGGCATGGAGATGGACGAGTTTGAAAGAGTGTGTTGACTCAACTAAGGAGCTTTGGTGTGTGTGTGTGGGGGGGGATGGGTAAGATAAAATAATGATGCAAGGCTCAGAAGCAAAGTTCTTAAGTCTGCATGCTGCTTTTTGCAGCTGAGTGATATGTAACATATGCCATCTGCAGTCAGGGACCTCTACACAGCAATTGCCTGCAGGTGTCTGGGCAAGTGTGGTTTCGGATGGCACCCCGCCCTCCTCCAGGAGAACTGCCACTTTGGGTATAGAGTGTAGAAATAGTGACGATTCAAACTGCCTGAAACTCTCAAAGGGAGAGAAAGGACTGCTTTCAGTTTTCTTTAAAACATGCAATTTCGTGTTATTTTTTTTTCTGTGGCTACATGTTTGTAAGGATTGATTTTCCAGCGCTGGTCAGCCATCCCGGAAGGCGGCTGCTGTGGCAATACAAGTGTATGAATGCTCATATGCAGGGGGCATTGTTTCACGTCCCAGGAATTCTCTAACAAGTTTCCATTTCCTTTGCTTGTGAGAAAATTAAGGGTTTTTTTTTCCTTAGTATTTTCAAACTCTGTTCTGGAATATGTTTTATTTTGATCAATATGATATCTTTTTTAGTGGAAAAAGATAAAAGAAAATTAAGTTTTACACAATATATTCCTAGACTTGATTTTAGTTTGTTTCATATTTTTATGTTTCGTCCCTCATCCTTACTGCAGTTTCTCCCCCCTCCTTTACTCCCAGCTCGTCCCCCACCACCTCCCTTCTCCCCAGGTTCACTCCTCCTCCATTTTCCCTCAGAGAAGAGCAGGCCTCCTGGGATAGCAACCAAACATCGCACAAGAAGTTACAATGAGACTAGCCACATACCTTCATATCAAAGATGGATGAGGCAACTCAGAAGAAGGAGAAGGGTCCCAAAAGCAGGTGAAAGAGTCAGAGACAGCCCCTGATCCCTCTGTTAGGAGACCCACAAGAACACCAAGCTACTCAGCCATAACATATACACAGAGGACCTAGGTAGATCCACGCAGGTTCCCTGATTTCTGGTTTAGTCTCTGTGAGTCCCTATGAGCCCCGCTTAGTTAATGCTGTGAGCCGTGTTCTTGTGCCAACCTTCATTTTAAAAGTACTGTCATGCACCAATCCAGCTACTTGAAGGGAAAAGAAGCTTGTCATAGTTGAATTGGCAAATGATTTCACTGTGTGCCTCCCCCCCACACACAATGAAGTTATGTCACTTGGGCTGACACTCATCCCTGCAAGAACCATGGAGCATCTAACACAGCCTCAGCACCAGGCATCAGGAACCTCCTTTTGAGTCGTTGGTCAAAGGACTCCAAGAGGCTTCCAAAACAGTATAGTCTATTTCTGTTGTCCTTGATTGTCTCCCAGAGGCTGAAGGTGAGTCTCTATTGTTGAAGACACCACCTACTTCAAACACAGGACTCAGAAGAGTCTATCCAGAGCTAGCCTGAGACTTTCCTCCCTTATGACTAGCTTTCATAGTAGAAGAAGATGCTATTCAAACTCCCTAAGGAGAAAGTCAACCAATTGTCCAATTCAGTGAACCACAACAACTAGTGTGCCAAGATAGTCATAAAGGTGCAATAGTGACACTCATATTTTGGCAGCAACCAACAGCTCCCTAGGGCTAGTGAAGTTATGGATCTTAGAGGAAACCCTGTGTGTCACTTTACTACAGCATAACTCCTAACTGCATTCTTAGTACTTATAATAAAGGATAAATATTGCTCTCACCCTTTAGCAAAGGAGCTTCCCTTTGTGTCTCTTTGCAGCAGACAGAAACCATTCAGAAAACCACAACTGGGCAAAATACAGAGAACACCTGAGTATTGGGTGGCCAGCTTAAACAGAGTGTTTTTCTAGGAAGAAGAATTAGAAAGACTGTAAGAGCCGGAGGACCAGAAAGTCTACTGTGAGATTATATTTCCAAGAAGAGACAGAGAAGCTGTGCTTGTGATACTGCAACAGATGGCTACCTGAACAAGATTGAACAATGACAACACCAATGGACAGGTTAATGCAGAAAAGAGGAGTCTCACAGTGCCCCACCCACAAAGAACTACAGGCAACTAATGACAGCTAAGAGAGGGAGAGTTAGTCTGCATGGACGAGTTCCCCAAACTGGTTGTATAATACCAACGTGATCAGTGGCGTGTGTGTGTGTGTGTGTGTGTGTGTAGCAATAATACTAATAAAAAGAGGCTATATGTTTGAGAGGGAACCCCGGGTTGGGGATGGGGCGGGGCTAGATGGAAATGACAAAAGACATGGGAGGGGCTTGAGGGAAGAGTGGGAAGTGGGAAAATGATTTATTAAAATAGTATTTTAATAATAATATTCTTAAAATTCTAAACATATGTGGTATGTCTCAAAAATAAAATGTAAACTTCCACAAGAGGGAGGCAACCGACAGCCCTACCCATCTGTAACACCTATGAACCACAGTAACAACCAGCATGGCACTAAGGTACAGTACTGGCAGGCATAACTTGGTGGTAGCCAATGGCTCGCTTATTGGACTTAAGTCTCACTCAACAAGAGAGGGACAGTGTCTGGTACTGAAAACCTAGCCAATTACTCAGTGCTGGTGAAGTCATTGTTGGAGAAGAACCTCCACCTACTAATTTACTAAACCAGCATCATCCCTGATAATAATCTATAAGCATTAGTCCTTATACTCACAGATGGGTGTAGTCTTCACCTCTCACCAACTACACTACTTTTTGCAACAGAGGCCACTGTATAAACCACAACCAAGCAAAATGTAGAGTCGTGGAGCCCAGTCCACCTGTATGCATGTACGGAACACTCC